AGGCCCTCCTGCCTCTCAGTCACTCACATGCTGCCTAGGAGTAGAGGACTGTACCACAATGCCCAGCTACTTCTCGAATTTAAAAAAGGATACTGGAAGAAAGCAGAATGTGCCCTAAAGGACAGACTCTCACTAATGTGATAGAATGATATGACAGGTGCTGAGGGCAGTATGATATTTATGGACACAGCCTTTCCTTACACCGTGAAAACAACTGTCCACTCAGCTGATTCCCACATACCCTTGTTATTGACTGATAGAGAGGGTTTTTGTTTTATTATGCACAAGACAAGAGTCATGGCAGGTGGGGCAACCGTCTTGGACGTCATCAGGAGTGAGTCTACAAAATAATTCATGAAAAAATGTGATTGTGTTTATCCTTGTTATGGGAAAAGGAAGAAGCAGTGATTTCGTGACACAGGACGGAGCACAATCCAAGGAATGCTCTGAGGGGTGTCACGAACCTACCAACCACTTTGACAGCAAGGCATCAGCGCAGATGCGGGATGGGAGGCACCACGCCCTGGTGCTCTCTACCACATCATGCCTTGTTGCAACGCCATCCGAACCTCCTGACCACTTCAGTCAGGCGCCAACTGGCATGCTGATCCTTTGGTTTTGTTTTTTTGTTTTGTTGTTGTTGTTGTTGTTGTTTTGGATAGTGATGTTTAGACCCCCAAAACAAAAAGTACAAAATGAAAACAAGCTTAGGAAACCTCAGACCACCCTATGCAGCACAACATCCTTCCTGCCCCCACCCCCACCCCCGCACAGAGCCAAAGGAAAAGATTTATGTGCCTTTGGGAGCTAGTATTTATTTTTGGAAGTTATTGTCACCAAGCGCTGACTGACAAGAACAGGATCAAAGTGTTTTCTGTCAAAGACAAGAGACTGCAGCATCTGAAGCCTTGGAGAGTGTGTTCTCCTTCTCCACCCAGGCTATGCTATCTGCTGGGAGAGTTGAAACGGATAAGGCTCAGCTTCCATTCTCTCAATGATTCATAATCGCTAACAACATACGTGCTGGTGACCTTGGCTGACCGCAGCTGCAGGCAGAAATCCAGATGGCGGGGAGCCGGAGCCGGACTAGAATAAGGACTGGGAAACAGGCATGCATGCAAAGTGCTTTGCAAGGTTCTCTTTTTTCTTTTTTGTAATTTATTTATTTTTATTTTATGTGTTCGGATCCCCTGGAACTGGAGTTGCAGACAGCTGTGCAGCCAGTGTTCTTAATCGCTGAATCATCTCTCCGGCCTCATGCAGGGTTCTTGAGACAAAGCCAGCCCTCTGTGATTTATCTCGCCATCCTTATCATTTCCAAGCATGTTCTACAATTTTCATAGTCACCAGACTTTCCTTTTCTCCACGTCTAAACTTGGGAATTAACTCAGTCCATCTGTAAAACAAATTAATAATCATTTAAATATTAACTAAACATTTGGGACCTAGCATTGAAACCTGGAATTGAGCTTTTTTTTTTTTAACTATATAAAACATAAAGGAGCGTCAAAGTGTTCACGAGTTAACTTTTTCAAAGTTGGCATATTCCTTCAGAGAGAGAATCCATAATTTGCCTCTAAATGCATTTCTACCCTTAGTAAGGCTAACCAGTGCTGTAAATGAAATCAATTTACATAAAATTTCCTTAATATTGGGGCTGGGAAGTTGATCAGTAGGTTAAGCGCCTGCTGAGCAAGTGTAAGGACCTGAATTCAGACCCCAGCACCCATATAAAACACCAAGCGTGGTGGTGAACATCTGTAATCTCAGTGCTGAGAAGGAAGGAGACATCTGGATCTTGAGAGCTCACTGGCCGGCCAGTCTGTGTGAAAATGTGAGCTCCAGGTTCAGTGAGACAGTCTGTGTGAGAACCATAGAGGAAGATACCCAACTTTGATTGCTGGCCTACCTACACACACACATACATACACACACACTCACAACACACACACTCACACATATACACACTCATACACTCACACATTCACACATACACACTCTCTCTCACACACACACTCACACGAGGGGGAGGGGTTCCTTCAATCGTTTTCTAAGTCAGCAACTAGTGAAGAGCAGATGCTCTCACTGTTGGGCTTCTCCAGAATATTATTAAGTGCTCTATGACACGTTGTCCTTGAGAGGGTCAAGTAATTTCTCCAGACTAGACTGAGAAGTGAGACACTTGATGCCAAAATGCTATCTGGCCTTTCTTCATACCCTTGGGCAGCTCTTTCTTTAAGAATTTCCAATTGATCTGTCATCCTCCTCATTTCAAATTTTCAATACTGATCAGTCACTCTCTACCTGCCTTTCTCATTGTGTCTTAATACCTCCAGGCTGCCTCAGTGCACCCCTTCATGGCTGTTCTGGCACCTGACTGCACCTATACAGAACTAACCCTCACCTAAACTGCCAGTACTCCTGGAGACAGCGTGTAGGTCGGAGCTGTTCTGTCATGGTTTTCCCATAATCTCACCAGGTTTTTATTATGGCTATAAGACAACTAAGAATACCGTAACATCCCCCACCCTCCCTTTTCCTGTTTTGTTTTTTCAAGGCAGGGTTTCTCTGGGTACCCCTGGCTGTCCTAGAACTCGCTCTGTAGACCAGGCTGGCCTCAAACTCACAAAGATCCTCCTGCCTCTGCCTCCCGAGTGCTGGGTCTGGCTGATAACATCCCTCAAGATGATAGTTAAAAGACTGTTGAAAAATGTTGGGAAGCCATTTCACAGACCAACTCCAGCCTCTAAGGAGTATACAGTGCTTCATGTACTAGTTGCCCACATTTCAATCAAGCTTAGACTTAAACTGGGTATTTGAACAAGGGAGAGGTATCCATCCCATATTAATGTCGTAACCATGCAAACCCGGTCTCTGACCAGTTACATCAGCAAGAAAGGCAGCGGTGCCCAAGGACTAACTGTGTCATCTAATGGTGTTATCTGAAGAACTCAGTGCACATTTGTTTGAAATGAGTCAAAGACTTTTCCTGTCCCCACTGAGAAGTCATCTGCCACTTAGGAGAGCAGATAAATTAGGGGTGGGAATATCAAAGAAAACTCTATAAAAGAGAAAGCATGGCCTAGGGTGTGGTTCAGTGCTAGCCTAGTGTGTGTGAGACACCCTGGGTCCCCAGCACTTCGAGAAAGAAATGAGTTTGTCCCCCCCACCACTCCTGCCCAGGATAGCAATAGTCCAATGAGAACAAAAACCCAAATATGTGAAGAATTTGCAAAGCAGATATGGAATGCATGTAAATTCAAATGCTTGGGAAGTGTTACATAAGAAGAAAGAGGGCGAGGGAGGAAGCAGGGAATTCCAGCAAGGGCTGCTGGAGGAGGAAGCCTTCTGTGCCAGGCTTGAGGCAGGGGGGACCGGGGTGAAAAGCAGCTGGGACAGCCTTGTGAAGAAAGAAACAGATGTAAAAACACAAACCAGAGGAAAATGAAGCCAGATACGGAGTCAGCAGTTGGTTGGTTCAGTTGGAAGAAAAACTGCATTCCTGAGAGAAATGGTCAGTTGTAAGAAGAAGGAAGAGCTCAGTGACTCCTTGTTCATTTATTAGTCCCAGACCATGCAGAGGTGCTTCACTATACACTGAGGCACCCTAGTTCTCTGATCTTGTGTAGTTACAGTCTATGGACACGGGACAATGGACCAATTTATAAATAAAGAAATAGTACCATTTGTATCTATTTGGCAAAGTAGAGTCCAGATATGCACACGGACCTACGAGAAGACAATTATGCCAGTGTTAGGTAGTATGCATAGTCTCACATTCAGTCTCTCAGCATCACTGTTTATCCCTCCATTCTAAAACAGTTGTAAGGCTACTTATATAGAACAATGTTTTTGTTGTTTTTTTGTTGTTGTTTTTATTTGACGTTTTGAGACAAGGTCTCATTACTGCATCTTAGGCTGGCCTGAAACTTTCGATCCTCCTCTCTCAGCCTCCCGAGTGCTGGGTCCACAGAGGGGATGCCACCAGGCAAGGCTCTGAACAGAAAAATGAGGAAAAGAATCCTCACAATGTTGTAGTTTCTGTGCAGTCTGTCCAGAAGTTGGGGGCCTTGACTCTCAGCACATTTAAAGCTGTCTTTCGAGATTATCTGACCTTGAAAACTGAGAGGACACAGTATATGACAACTGGGTCTGCAAATTGCTTGCAGACTTTGTTTCTGTTTCTCCCCTTTAAAAGGCAGAGTACTGTGTCAAATGTCAGAGGAATGCACTGGGCTTGGAAATACTGCCAACTAATGATAATTTCATATTGCTTAGTCATAGCACTGGAGGACTGTTTTCAGCTTCTATACTTACTAAGCTTCCTGCCTATAACCAAAGGAGCTGATTTAACATTAAAGACAGGTTTTTACTCTTCTAATTTGATGTTTAAAAAAGAAACTAGTGAGCCTTCTGTTTTTGGTTTTTTGTTTTTTTCATTTTTACATATTATCCTCAGGGGAGACAGACTAGTCAAAAGCAGTGGCATGTGATAAGTGGACAGAAATTATCAGGGGAATTAATGGGAACTCAGCCCTGGTCAATAACTGGTGTTAAGACGACCCTCATCTCAAGTGATCTGAGAGCAGCAGAGCTGACATCTGAGGACTGTAGAGAGTCTGAAAGGATCACTGCTGACTGACCCCCTTCTCCTGCAGCTGAGTTCTAGTGTTCTAATGTGCATGTAAAATGATGGGCCTGAGTTAGTATCCGTTAGAAGCTTGATAAAAGACAAGGAGCCCTTCTGTAGACAGTGCTGGAAAGTCAAAGTTCAAAGACACAGACATTCAAGGGGCAGGCAATTAAAGGTTTCAAGAGAACATCTGAAGTTAATAAGATGGAGTTTCCATATACATGGATTAAGTTCTTAGTTATTTGTATGTTGTACCAAGGAGAATCAAATATACTCTGCTTTTCATTTTGCGTTTGTTACGTTAATTATACCAATTATTCTGAATCCCTTGGGAATAAGAAGTCATCTATTTCAAAATTACTTGCAGATATGGATATTAATGATGACCCTAATGAAGACCATCTTGCAAGTTATGACATTCAGCTTTGTATTCAAGAATCCATTGAAGCAAGCCAGGCTATATTCCATCTCGAAAGGTAGTATTCTAACCAACTGCTCTCAACAGATTTCTGTATGACAGTCATTTTGTCTGAGGCTCACTCCTCCTCTATAAAAATACTTACTTCCCCCCACAATACACATACTCTTTTTCTGGTATGAAGTCTAACAACCTTAAAATGTCAATTATGCACATATTTTAATAATATAATCTACAAATATGCATCTGATGTAGAAAATGGAAATTTTCCAAGTGGTGAATTCCTAGCTGAATTTGTTTGAGAATTGCTTATATTCTAAATTAATGTGGAGTTAAGAAGGACAATGTGTAGAGTTAGAACAAATTTGTAAGAACAGCATAAAATAAACAAAGGTTTGTATATAGCACATCCTGCCACCTTGTCAACTAACCTTTGTGAGTAGACACATTAAAAGAGTCATGAAATTGATGTTACAAAATTGTAACTACACAATCTTAAACTGTAAAAATAAATACCTGTTATACATGATACATAATGAAAAAATAGACCTTAGCTTCCCTTTACATTCTATTTTCATGCTTAGAATTTTATAGTCTGGAACTTAGTAGTGCTTGTGAGTATACTCACTCTATGAAACTATTGCTTTTGAGCTGTGTGTGCAATGCACTTGTGTGTGTGTGTGTGTGTGTGTGTGTGTGTGTGTGTGTGTGTGTGTGTGTGTGTGTGTTCTTACTCTGATATGAACAGAGGTGCACACAACTCCATGGAAGCTAGAGGTCAATACAGAATGGTTTTCTCTTGCCTTTCTGTTTAAAAGAGGATCTCTCAGTGAACCTGGAATTCAGCTAGACTGCCTTGCTGGGAAAGTCCCAGGCATCCTCTTATCTATATCCCTAGTGCTGGGATTGCAGGTGTGTGCTGGGGATCCAAATTCAGGTTCTTATGCCTATGCAAGAAGCACTTGACCAACTAACTAGTTCTCCAACTCTTCTGCTCTTGAATTTTTGAAAGTGAACACGTAATACTCTGGTTTCTCTTCAGATTGTATAGACCTTTTAAATTTTAAAAGTATGCATGTTACATAAAATTTCTGGTGTTTAACTTTTTCATAGTACTGAAACCTCCAACAGAATTTAGAACCTCAGAGCTCCACACACGGCATTCAGAACCCTACAATGTTAGCAGATGTTTCTGTTTAGCAGAGCTAATACCTTTGTTCTGAAGGTCCTGTTTTCATTTAAGAAGCACAAGTGTCATAGAATTGCCATGTGAGCTTAACTCTTGATCTGCTGGGCCACTCACTGGGAATATATTCAGTAAGTGTTCTACCTACTAATCAATTGATTAATACTTCTAACATGCATGTGGGCCATAAGCTCCCAAGTGTCTCTCAGGAATTACTAAGAGCCAAGTAACACTTATTGAGCACATTGTTTTGAAAGGTGGAAGAGTCTTAGCAATCTTCCTACCCCACCCAGATGAGTGAACCAACATCCAGAAAGGCTAATGGACTTTCCCAGGGCCATTAAGTCAGATCTGCACCCAAGCCCTTGACTCTGACTCCAGTCATTTACTCCATTTCTATTGTTTAGAGAGACCCCTTCTACCCTCTCTATTGTATTTTGCTCTCTTCACTAGTATACTCTGTCTGACTCCTGGGAAATTTAAAGTGGAGAAAATCAGCTATATGATTTTCTTGCAAATTTTGATTATTACAGATATTTACTAAAACTCATTTTTATTGTTCAGATGCTTAAAATACATCACTAGTACAAATATGGCTTGATTGTTTTGTTTTGTTTTGTTTTTCCTCTGCTAGACTGGTACCACTAAGTGATCAAAACAGAAAGCTTGTAGAGGCCATAAGGAAAGGTGAGTGGGCATATGATCTACGATGAGGTGGAACTGACAGTTCACCTTGTTGGGGCCAGTGTGTAATGGTGTAATGAGTCCATACATTTCATGTAGGTCACATTTTTGAGCTCCAGGAGTATGTGCAACATAAATATGCTCTGGATGAAGCTGATGAGAAAGGATGGTTCCCGTTGCATGAAGCTGTTGTTCAACCCATTCAACAGATACTTGAGACTGTTCTGGATGGTAAGAAAACATAACAACCTTTGTACAAAACTAGAGAAAAAAATGTATTCATTGTAGGAGTTCAAAACGAACATAACAAGCAAAAATAAAAAAGGAGAATCAAAGACTAACACAACTTGTGGCATGTGCCATTCAGCCTTTGCATCCATTCACCCAAGAATGTGATACAGGATGGCAGGAAGGTGGTGTTACCACCTGTGATTGATAGAAGTGTTTCAAAGGTCATAAATTAGTTGATTGAAATAGATCAGCAGTTAGGAGCACTTGCTACTCTTTCAGACGACATGGGTTTGGTTGCCAGCATCCACATCAGGCAGCTCACAACCACCTGTAACTCCAGATCTAGGGGACCTAAGACCTTCTTCTGGCCTGAGCAGGCACCTGCACACACGTAGCATACACTCACATACACACACACACATACACATTAATAGAGAAATAAAAAAATAAAAGATTTCTAAGAGTTAATTTAATATTTTTCACATTCAACTATTCTCGATCTAGCTTCCAAAAGGATATATATTGTTGTATACATTATATATCATAATAAATAATATAATTGTCCTTATATTACATTAATCTTTTTAAAATGTAAACATTGCTGTGATAAATCAACACATTGTTTTAAGTGTTTTTGCACATCTCAGCATTTTATAGAACACATAAGAATGTCTTACCTTTTAAGCTTCAGTGTTGCTTCCTAGTTTTGTACTTTGAGAGATGAAAAATAGTTGATAATTAGCTAGCCAAGTAGAGAAATAGATGACCGGACAAACAGATAGAGATGGCATTGATGATATTTCTTCTGCAACACAATGAGACATCTATTCAAATATGTTTCTCATTTACATTCTTCATTTGACAAAATCAATCTCATATACAATTTACATATTTAAAAGACTTGAAGAATTGATTTACAATGTATTCAGAAATGAGAATTAGTAACCTACTTTAAGGGAAAACTTGTTGAAGCCTAGGTGTTGGTTTCCTAGCTGTCAACTGGATTAGCAAGTCTATGTGTGTCTGCTGATCCTCGCTGTCCTTTGGTAATCTTTCTATCATATGTTCTCTTATCCTTCCATTTATCATTAATTACTTTGCTCAATATTATGTGTATAATATTAGGTAATTCTGATTTACATAAAATCACATAAGCAGATATGTTTAACTTCTCAACAAAATGCTTTCACATCTCAGCTTCCTATAAGACAATCTGGGAATTCAAGACCTATGATGGAGAAACACCCTTGACTCTGGCAGTCAAAGCTGGTCTGGTGGAAAATGTCAAGACATTGCTAGAAAAAGGGGTCTGGCCCAACACCAAAAATGACAAAGGAGAGACGCCTCTTCTAATTGGTAAATTACTTTTTCTAGAATTTTTTTATTTGAAACAAATATTTATCAAGTGTTTATTAGAAACCACTGTACACTGGCTATACCTGGCTGCCTGAATGCCTTCCCTTGTCCAATGTTTCCATGCTCCCAGGCTTATTTCACCAGTCCACCAATTTCATTATGCTGTCCTACAAAGAGTATCATGAAAGACGGCCACATAGTGTAACTCTCAAATATAGAGTACAGATAACAAGGAGGAACCTAATGTTCAGTGACAAGGTGTCAAGTCTAAAGGAATGCCTTCCAGGTAGGGTCAAACTGAAAGGGATGGTTGTGTGTGCAAGATGCTCACAGAGGAGGGGGCTATAAAGGTGATGACAAACAGCAGAATATCAGTTCCACAACAGAACAGTCAAACAAGACTGAAGGGAAGAGGACATTCTGTGAGAGACACTGAGCTGCCCCCTATGACACTGCACAGGAAGGATGGCAATTACAACTTGCCATGTGTCAGCTTCTCAGGTTCATGTCCTCTATTAATTGCTGAGGAAGAATTTCTTGATTGAAGAGAAAGAGGTTAGACTGACTATATGTGTGTGTGTGTGTGTGTGTGTGTGTGTGTGTGTGTGTGTGTGTGTGTGTAGGTGTATATGTATATTATAACCCAAGATAGCATTGCATTTTCTGGAGGACACAGGGATGGAATAAGAATTTGGGGTTTGGTACTTGAGATCTGTGGACTTATATCTTGGCAGGAGACTATAATAATGGGTTTCACATCCTCATGTATGATGGTTGCCCAGGAAAAGAGAAGTCATATTAAAGCCAGATGCTTTGCTGGGCATTCTGGATATAAAGATACTGATTAATCTTTTGCTTAAAATGTGTAAGAGAGTTAGATAAGTGTAAGAGGACAGTTAACATAAATGCTACAATGAAGGTGAATACTTAAATTAAGGGAATCAAAAAGTCATTGCATCTGACTTAATTCCCTGAACTTGTTTTTAGCAATATGGAGACATCAATGGGACTTTTAAGTTTTATAAGAAAATGGATCATCCATGTCAGCTTAACAGTTTTGCTTTGGGGCTACTTAGAAAGTTGCTACTCACAGTTCATTAACTTGCAAAGGAGAGATAAGAGGGGGAATGTTCCTTCTTCCATGTAACTCCATTTTTGATGTTTTTTAACTTAATTCTTCATCTTTGTATCTATTCATGAAGTATGCTCAGATGGCAAAAATAAAATAACCTTAGATCTCCCCATCAGCCATCTGACTCTGACTGGCAATGCTTTATGCATCACAGTCATCTTACCATTCCTTGATGAGTGGTAGGTATCCGACTTGTGGTGGCCTGACACTTACTAGGGTTTTCCTGCTCTTGGATTGGACTCTCTGCTCATCCAAGGGATGTGGTGTCACCTTTCTTCTGCTGGGTAGTCATGCTTACTCTGACGGGGGGGGGGGGGTAGGGAGGAAGAAGAAGCTCTGGGGACTGTTTCCTGGGGTCTCAGATCTACTGGCCTCTGCTCTCTATGACTTTCCACATTCACACAGCACTTTGTGTCACTTCTTTCTCAATTTGTAAGTTCATTTCTCTCAAATCAAAGCACACCCTCTTTGTCTGTTTCCTCTATTACTTTTTCAGTCCATACCTGGATGTCTCAGAGCTCCCTTCTCTGTGTGTCTTATGAGTCAGAAAATCACTCAGAGCAGTAAAAAACTCGTGTATTCAGAAAAAGGAAGAAAATGACAAATTAGAAATAAAAATGGAATGCCAGAAAACCATAAATTTCCAAGGAAATCTTAAATAATACTAAGTAATTTTAAAGTGGTGGTTTGCAGATTCTATAGAACTTATATGTAAAGCATACATAAAAGACTAAGAATAAAACTGTATATATAAGTTCATATTTTATTTTTTAAGTTCATGTTTTATTACCAACTATATTAAACTAATAACGTGCCTTATAGATTTAATTACTTCAACTGGTTATTATTTTAGACCAGTGGTTCTCAACCTTCTTAATGCTGTGACCCTTTAATACAGTTCCTCATGTTGTGGTGACCCCCAAACATGAAATTATTTCATTGCTACTTCATAACTATAATTTTGCAACTGTTGTGAGTTGTAATGAAAATATCTGATTTGCAGGATATCTGATGTGTGACCCCTAGAGGAGTCATGACCCACAGGTTGAGAACCATCATTTAGATGGTCTTTCTGAGTCATCTCTGAAAGATGACTCCCCACCACTGGCATCATTATTTCTATGGAAAATACATTCTTCCAAAGCCTTAAGTAAGAAGTGAAAACATTAATTTAAAGAAATAAGTTGAAGTTGAAGATTCCCTGCATACACTGTTGTTTTTTCATAAAGAAGCTAATCTCACTACAAGTACGTTTCACAAGTGAAGCAGAAGGACAGGATCCGAAAGGGAAGAGCCTCATTACTTTGAGATTATTTTTTCCCAAGAATTAAAAAACGTGAAACAATAGCACTAAGATAAAATCGGGCTCACTCCTCTCTGCAGTGACAGCAGCTGGGATAGGGTAAGGCACCACAAAGAGAGCCACAGTGGTAAATGGACAGTTATCAACTCGTGGTACCGGAGGAGGAGATGAATTTCAACTCCCTCATCTGGGGCAGGGTCCAGTTCTGAAGTACAATCTGTTGACAAATACTATCTTTTGTGGCGAAAATAATACTTGTTTCTATGGGGGACAAAATCTGATAGATATTTATATATGGAACACCAGAGTCCCAGAAATGATACTGATACTAAGAATAACTTATTGTGTTCATAATTTATACTGGGTAATATACTAAATGGTTAACATACATTATTTAATTTGTACAACCCTATAGTATGTTGTTCCCATTTTTTTTGGAAAAGAAGGTTGAAGTTTGGAATGAGTACACAAAAAAATTTATCTTGATGATAAACATTTTTCATGAAATTCTTACCCCACTCTGAGTCTTGAAGACTTAACCTTCACAAGTAGAAATTTGGGCATGAGAAAGAGAAAGCACATCAGAAATACAATATCCTTTTATAAAAGAAATGGAATAGCTTATGCTTATTTTGATATTAGCTTAACTCCATATAAAGTGCTCATGTTGATACAGCAACTTCATGTTAATATTCCTGTTAATATTCTTTTTAAAAAATTATTTCAAGCTATAAAAAAAGGCTCCTATGACATGGTATCTGCACTGATTAAATACAACACCAGCCTTGACCAACCCTGCATCAAGCGATGGTCAGCAATGCATGAAGCAGCTAAGCAAGGCCGAAAAGATATTATAGCCCTACTGCTGAGCCATGGAGGCAACGTCCACCTGAGAGATGGATTCGGAGTCACACCTTTAGGAGTTGCTGCTGAGTATGGCCACTATGATGTGTTAGAACATCTGATCCACAAAGGTATGTGAAGTGTTTTATTCTGTCCTGCTCTCGGACTCTCCTTTTCGTTGCTCATGGCCTCCTCTTTCTCTTGAATTTAAATGAGTGAGACTTTAAGTTCTAGCCCCCCATCAAACCCCTAAGCCACCACCAAAGCCCTGTTAACTTTGACCTGTAGAGATCTGTGAGACTGGTCCTAATTGCTAATTCCAGACAGCCTAGTTTCCATATAGATTTGGTGGGAAGAGTTTAACTGTCATCTTTGCTGAATTCCTCCTCTTTTTCCACTTGTTGATGTCACAATCCCTCTCCAGTGGGACTGAGAGGTTTGATCTACCTCTAAATCTTCTATCACTTCTTTTCCCAAACCAAAATACCAAAATTTTTCTGGTCTTCATGTTGCCATCTGTCTTGTCATCTTGGTCAGGTCCTTCCCATCTTCCCTGGACCACGTGAGCATTTGCTAACTATTCTCCAGGTTTCCATTCTGCCTGTCAGAGAATCCATACTACATACTACAATTTAATTCCTCTCCCTCAAGTACACCCTCATTGATGTCTTCTACTCAAGACACCACTTCAACTGCATTATTTAGAATTGTTTTTTTTTCAGGCTTACACTTCACTATTCCAATCCTGTGTGTCCCACTCCAGGAAAATAGAATGTGGGTATTCTCTCTGCTCAATTTAGATCTGATCCTTGCTCTTGGTTGGTATAATAGTCCGCAAAATTCAAAGTCAGTCTCTTGAGACCTTCTCATAAAGTCCTTCCTAAGTCTCTCCAACAGATGGTGTCATTCTCTACCCCTGAGACCTCAAAATGCTTCAGCTGTACAACCAGGGATGGAGAAGTTCAACTACTAGCTCCTAGCTTCACCTCTTTACGAGACCCTTGTCTAGTTAAGCGCCCAGGCCCTAGATTCCTCATCTATAAGTGAATTACAGAATCGCCAAAGGATCTTGTATGGGTGAAAATGAGCATTTTTGTGCTTCCCAAAGTAGCAATGAATTATCACATAACCTCTAGAAATATGCTACACTAGTTTACAGATGAAGAAATAGAGGCACTTAAAAACCTTATCCCAGTTCATGGAGCAAGCAGCAGATCCATAATCAAAGAGGGCTCTCTTCCCTTCCAGTATGACCCGACTAAAGCTGTCACTCCAGTGTCATATACTGTATGTCCTCTAGTTACGTCTTCATTTGCTCTTTAAGCTCCTTTAGTCAGGCTAATTGAGCTTAGGGTCACACACAATGCTTGCACCTCATAGGTATCCATAAACATTTGTTGGATTGGAAGAGTGCTACCTGCTATCATCAAATTAAAGTCTCATGATCATATTTCTGGAAGTGTGCATCCAACGTGGCAACCTACTTGTTTTCAATCATGTTTTTGTGACTCCCTATCCCTGAAAGTTTAATAAAATGAAACATGTTGCCTAGCTGTTATTGAAACTATTAAAAAAAAACAAACAAACAAACAAAAAACAAAATTGTTAAGCTTTAAACAGAAAGGAAGCTAACAGATGACTTTAACAGACTAACTTAACACTGCTCACACTGCTCAGCCATCTAAGCCACGTGCTTTACACCACCAGGTGGTGATGTGTTTGCTTTGGCGGATGATGGGGCATCTGTGTTATTTGAGGCAGCAGGAAGTGGAAACCCTGACTGCATTTCCCTCTTGCTGGAATATGGAGGAAGCGGCAACGTGCCTAACAGAGCAGGACATCTTCCAATACACCGAGCTGCCTATGAGGGACATTATCTGTGAGTAAGACATTGAGGTGATCACTTTAAGTTGTGTGTACAATACAATCTTACAATATATGATGCTCCCCAAACCTCAAAGGGAAATATTCACACATTTTGTATTTCAACGCTTGGAATGGATTTGATAGCTTTTCTTCTTTCATTCTGTAGTTTTGATTTTCACAGAATGAATTTATACTCTTCTTTTAATAAAAAGTATTCCTTGTAGAGGAATAAAGTTGTAACTGAGAAATCTTCACCAACTGGCAAGAATGTCTTTCTGTGTTAAAAAAAAAAATGGTTCAACAAATGGCTATAAAGTTTCTAAACAATTTGCCATTGACTGAGGATTAGAATTTGTAACAATACTGTGTTTTATTCCAGTTATTTCCTAGCATTGCCAGGATGTACATAATACTATAAAGGCAAATGGCAAATATATTATTGAATAGAGAAGATTCATTATAAATTTAGATCTCTTGTTCCCACACAATCAGTAGAGTGGACTTTTCAACCATAAAATATGTTATAATCAACATAGTAATAGAAGTCTAGAATCACAATATTAAACTATCCACCAAGAAACAATGGCTTTAAGAAATTAACAATATCTTATGAGTTCAAAAACTCTGAAGTAGCTAGGATGTATTATATCTGCTGGCCACACTGGCAAAGTTAAGGGACGAATGACGCATAATTGATGCGAAGTGACATGTTGTTAAAGTTTACCTGGATTTACTCCCAGCGTTCATAAATTCACACATGATAGCTCTGAATTAGGCACAGGAGATCAAGTTATCCTTGCTTGTGGCTCTCACAAATGTCTAAATGGCTAGTGAAGTGTGAAATTCACAAGTATTCATCACATGTACTTTGAAACATGAGCAAGGGACAGTTATTTCATCTGGATGGATGCAAGTTTGATCGAAAACTAAAGATTCTCATTTTCACTAGAATTCACTTGTGAGTTGTATAGGAGACAAGAAGTACATGGGCAATATTAATAGATGGCTTAGGAATCAATGAAAAAGAAAGAATAAGAATCAAAAGATTGCCGGGCGGTGGTGGCGCACGCCTTTAATCCCAGCACTCGGGAGGCAGAGCCAGGCGGATCTCTGTGAGTTCGAGGCCAGCCTGGACAACCAAGTGAGTTCCAGGAAAGGCGCAAAGCTACACAGAGAAACCCTGTCTCGAAAAAACAAAAAAAAACAACAAAAAAACAAAACAAAAAAAAGAATCAAAAGATTAAAACTCTATCCCTTCCTTTCATATGGAGCTTATGACCTTGGACAAGTCATGTTCCGTCTTAAGCCTTTATATATTGTTCATCTTTAAATGAAAGGGTTGGATTTATGCTGTCCAAGGTCATTTTCCAAGACTGCATGGATTCTGGTGGTCAAGATTATGCAGTGTGTTTCTATGCCATCGGGGGAGTTTACTCTCTTTGGCATTTTTGCAATCACATCTATTGATTACACAAACTTTATTGTTAAGAGACAGAACTGTAAAGTGGGGAGAGTCCTGAGGACTCAAACCTAGAACCAAACATGTAAGATCCAGGATGTTCCTTGGGAATTTTTAGAATGGAAAACTAAATTAAAACTCATCTAAGTTAAACAATAGTATCTGACTCAGAGGTTAAGAGTACTGGATGCTCTTCCAGAGGTCCTGAGTTCAATTCCCAGCAACCACATGGCGGCTCACAACCATCTGTAATGAGATCTGGTGCCCTCTTCTGGCCTGCAGGGGTATATGCAGGCAGAACACTATATATAATAAATAAATAAATCTTTGAAATAATAAAGTAAACAGGAGTATCTTGATTTGCAAAGGCTAAAAAAACACATACAGAGTTACATAGAGGAAATATGGAAAATAAACAAAGTGAATTCACTTATCTGATGAGAAAGTTGTATTTAATTATTTGGTTTTCTTTATGCAATGGGGGTATTTAAGGAGTTGTTTTTTTGCTGCAGTGCTCTGAAATATCTCATCCCTGTAACATCCAAACATGCAATCCGGAAGAGTGGCCTAACTCCAATTCACTCAGCAGCAGATGGACAAAATGCCCAGTGCCTCGAACTGCTCATTGATAATGGTTTTGACGTCAACGCCCTGCTTGCTGACCACATTTCCCAGAGCTACGACGACGAGAGAAAGACCGCGCTTTATTTTGCTGTCTCTAATAATGATATTCACTGCACAGAAGTCCTTCTGGCTGCAGGTGCAGACCCCAACTTAGATCCCCTCAACTGTCTACTTGTGGCGGTGAGGGCCAATAGACATGAAATAGTCCGGCTGCTTCTCTCCTACGGAGCTAATGTCAACTGTTATTTGTATGTGAATGACACTCGTTTCCCCAGCGCCATCCAGTATGCCCTAAATGATGAGGTTATGCTGAGGCTCCTGCTGAATAATGGTTACCAAGTGGAGCTGTGCTTTGACTGCATGCACGGAGACATCTTTGGAAATTCATTCGTGTGGTCAGAGATAGAGGAGGAGGGACTGCCAGGATGGACATCTTGTCTAATAAAAGATATCCCGGTAAATTGCACCCTTTCCTTCATTTTGGCTTGGTATCCTAACTCATATTTGTCTCAAGAATCTTCAAGTTTTGATTTTTTTAACTCTTTTGATTTATTTATTGACCTCCCCAAAATTGATCAAGAGTATGTTGCTTAACTTTTATTTATTTATGAAACTTCCACATTTCTTCCTATTGCTTATTCCTAGACATATACCATTGTGGTATTAAATATCATTGAAATGACTTTGGTATTAAAAGTATTAAGTCTTGTTTTATAGCCCAATGTATATATAATCTATTCCGGAGGTTGTTCCATGCTCTAAGTAAAACATATAATCTACAATTTAATTCATAAAATTTCACTCATTTAAGGATGTTACAAGCAAAGAAAATTCAAATTTAATTTATATGCTTCTTATTTTTGACTTCTTATCACTATAGACAGATAAGCATAAAATGGGCCAGGAAACAAGGCTATTTCTTTTCTTGGATTAGAAACAGAATGTCAAACAATTTTAAAATGTATTTGCAATTATTCACTTGCATCCAGTTGGTGAGATATTGGGGCTAGAGGGGGAAAAAGAATGGATCTTCCATGCCATGTTCACTCTGATCCCAAGATAACCATGAATATGCATTTAGTATTATTAGTTCAAAGAAATAATCGTGGCAGCTCTTTTTCATTTTTGTTCGTCATAGGCAGGAATATTTTCTTTCCTGTAAAAAGACAAAGAGTAACTTTTCATAGCAATGCTGATCATGTGTATAATATATTAAAAGTACCACTAAATTAACTAGTATCAATTTTCTCAGTTCTGTGAGTTCATTACAGTTCCATGGATGAAGCACTTGGTGGGCAGCACTGTCCGTATACTTACAGATTATATGGATTATGTCCCTCTGTGTTCTAAACTGAAGTCTGTGCTAGAACTACAGAGAGAATGGCCAGAAATCCGCCAAATAATAGGTAAAGGCAAATATTTCCTTTACTTTAAATTGTTATTTATTTGTTTATTGTGTGTATGTGTAGTTGTGAATGTGAATGTGATTGTGAGTGTGTGTTTATCCTTAGAAAAGCTTACAGTTAGCAATGACTATAGTAGTTCTGAGCATCCCTCCCACACAGAATTTGGTGTGGAAATGCCAATTCCTGCAAAAAGAAATAATAAATGATGGTTCCCGATCTGAGGAAGGAAATGCATAAGAATGAACTTGGAGCATCTGCTCACACCAGGCAGCCAAGAAACTCAGTGACTACCTTAACAAGGTCAGAAGAGTCCATGAGCCAACTTGAAGAGACTCAGTGGCCAATCAAGTTTCAAAAACACAGTTGTTTCAATAAATAACATAAATATGTCCAAAACTTCTAAATTCATAAAACCTTAAAACCTGAAAATGTTCATTTCAAAGGGGTTATAGAAAACCAATTACCTTGAAATTTGTTAAAAACACTTTAGCCATTTTTCTTCCTGTTGTATCTATCATACATGCCACAGGTAACCAAAAGAGATGAGCAAAACCTCTTCATGAAAATGATACAAAAATGGATAGAAAAAGAACTTGAAGATCAAAAGATATTTAAAGGATATTGGATAAGTTTTTAATCCTCCAACTATAGGAAAGCCCCAGAGGAATGACATCTGATGTTGACTTCTGGCCTACATAGGCACATACGCATTCGCTTGCACTTCCCCACGCATGTGGGCATACACACACAAACACAACAAAAAGAAACGTGAGGAGTTATTCGCTTCAATGATGAAATGATCCCTTTTTCGTTATATTTGATTATTAACTTTCAAATTACATTCTTTTAATAGTAAAAGAAAGTTAACCTTGGTGGCATATGCCTGTAATCCCAGTATTTGGAGGCCAAGGCAGGAAGGTCACAGTTTTTATCCATCCTATAATTAGTGTAGGGACAGATCACTTAGACGATGAAACTTCAAAGGGGTGATAGCTGTACAAGTCAGAATTGTGGTGGTTGGTGGGAGAAGGAAGAATGGAGGTTGTCAAGGCTATGCAAGCATCCTCTATGGCTGACCAAGTTCCATTTCATAGCCTGAGAGGTAGTCAAAGATACTCTACTCGATACTTGTAATTTATGAAACTGTGCGTGTATGTAGGTAGTCTCATGTTTAAAAATTTCAAATCCAAAAAGTTTAAATGATTTGGCTATTTTAAAATGAAAACACCACTAAAGTGTAAATTAATTTCCCTAAGTTTTGGGCCCAGGGAACAACAAAGCCAGGATTTGAGCCTTGTTTATCTTACTTGGTAACATTGGCTTTTCCTGCAATAATCACTGTTATTTCTGTCATAAGGAGCACAGATGTTGCTAGGAAATGAGAATTAATGGTCCACGTGTTTCTATTGCAAATGAATTCCTAGTTGTGATGATTTTAGAAAGATGTTCCAGGTAATTGATGTCAGGATGCTTTTCTGTTATTTCAGTGGTTTATTTCTGCAACCAGCTTGTCGGCTGCTTGCTGTGAGCCTGCTAAACCACTGGATGTCAGGGTTCCTTCAGCTATAGAAAGGCAGTGGACTTGTTAAGGAACAAAATAAAATTGCTATTTTATTAAAACATGGGAGGGTGCCTATTTTGATCATAATATTTTCCCTCAAGTTTGTAGAAAATAAATGTCCGAATTTATTTTTGAGATGGGTTTTGCTCTGCATCCCACTGTAGTGTGAAACTCTCTATACATATCCTAGGCTGGCCTCAAACCTGTGACCTTCCTGCCTTGGCCTCCAAATGCTGAGATTGCAGGCATCTGCCACCAAGGCTAACTTTGTTTTAATATTGAAAGAATGTAATTTGAAATTTTATAGTCAAATATAACAAAAATGGGATCATTTTCATCATTGAAGTCAATGATGCCTAATGTTTCTTTGGTTGTTTGTGTGTATGTGTGTACCCACATGAGTGTGGAAGTGCAAGCGAGTGTGTATGTGTGTATGTAGGCGAGAAGCCCGCATCAGAGGCCATTCCTCTGAGCTTTTCTGACTAGATTGGCTGGCTGGCCAGTGAGCTTCAAGGATCTTCCTGTTTCTGCCTCCCTAGCATTGGGATTGCAAGCATGCACCGCCATGTCTGAATTTTTCCATTGCTTTCAGGGATACAACTCACGCCTCTATGCTCACACAGCAAACACATTACCTACTGAGCTGTCTCCCCCCTCCCCTAACATTTATGGAGTGTTATGGTCCAGTGTATCCAGGATTTTTCTAGTCACTCATGCGAACTCTAGCCTCAGATGATCCTATGAAGGAGGTACTATTGTTATCCACCTTACATACATGGGAATACTAATTATGTGGGTTAAGCTACTTGTGCAAGGTCACACACAGTAACATAGGCAGGATCTTAGTCCCAGCTGACTGAGTCTAGGGTCAAATGTTTACTTGTGTACTTGTACTATGCTGCCCGTTGATTGGCTCAGTATAAAACATCAGTGTTTAATTCTACTATAAAGTAAGAAATTGAAAAATATATTTGCACATCATCACATATGTAAATGTTAATATCTGGTGTGTGGCACAGCAGACACTGAAATCAAGCCTCAGACTGGATCATGAATGATTAATGAAATCATCTAGTGATGATAATTATTTACTGATAATTAGTCATCAGAAAGACTAGTAGAAAAGAGAGGAAGTAAAGAAACATGTCTGTATAATATTTAGTTATTAAAAAAGGAGAAATATGTGGCCATTTGCTGTTTAAAATCAAATCCACTTGTTAACATACTTTACTTGGACACCCATCAGGAACCAGACTTGGCTCCTGGCACAGATGCAGACAGAACTCCCATCCTCTTGGAGCTCAAATCATGAGGAAAGGGCTAGAGTACTTAATTGAAATGGAAATTGAGGTCAAAATCATCAGCTACTAATGTGTGTATTTTCAAAAAACATTGCTCACGTTACCCTGAAACAATCTGCATCATAATTGTGAAGCCTGTAGAACTTCTTGATTTTCTGATTGTTTTCCCATTTTCTTTTTCCAGAGAATCCTTGCTCACTAAGGCACCTGTGCCGGCTCAAAATTCGCAGACTTATGGGACTCCAGCGACTCTGCCAGCCAGCCTCCATGGAGAAACTTCCTCTCCCAGCAGCGATTCGAAGATACTTATTATTTAAAGAATATGATCTCTATGGGCAACAGCTAAAGTTAATATAACTTTTAAATGATATTTTAAAATGTGATTCTTAAAGTATTTTAAAATGTGATTCCCCTAGAGATGTCATTGGAATCATTTTATATTCTTAAGTGTATTTAAATCCACGGAGAATTTTGTAGTTGTACCACGTTCCTATGGAAAGAACATGTACACTCCTAAAGTCATTTAGGTTTCTAAGACAAGCAATATCCTGTGTTTGAATTTCCATTGATTGTCTTCAGTTGTTACAAGTCTTCAAATTCTCCCTATCAACTGAATGTCAATGACTGAGAGACTAGACTTAAAAAGCAAATAACCACTTTTTCAAACCCCCACACATACCTGCCGGCTGCTAACCTGTTCTACTGTCAGACACTGTTCTAGAAAAGCCCGTGTGAACCTGCAGATTCACCCTGTAACCTGGCTTCCCCTGTGCCTTCTACTCCTCAACTCACAGTCCCTCACAACTTCCTTGTTGCTAAATTTGGTAAACAACTTTCACTCCCTCTTCCTGTTGATTCTTGCAGCATCTGACTCCATTTCCTGTTCCTTCCTTGGTTTTCGTCATAGGTCTATCTCGCTGTGTTCCCTCTCAGCCCTCCTCCCTGGCCTCTGTGTCTCTGCTTCTCTATGCTGTTCCTCTTCCTCCAGCCCTCTAGAGACATGTCCTCTGTCCTTTTCTGTCATGCTGTGCTCTCTGGGAAATTCCATTCACTTTCCCAGCTGTGATCGTATTGCTGGGGACTATACCATTTACAGATGAAGTTCAACTTTTTGTCTCCAGTGCTTCAGACCTGACAGACACTGATGTAATGGACATCTAAACATGAAGATAGCTTCGGTTCAGCGCATCCTCAAATCCTTCCTTCACCATACACTTTTCTCTTAACATTCTGCAGTTCAATAGTGGCACAATCAATTCAGTTTCCAGATAAAAAAAAGACTTGGCATCAGTCTTGACCCACCCCTCCCTCTTCTTCTCACCCGGCATGCCAGCTCACCAAATGCCATTGAGTTTCTCTCGTAAAGCCACCGTTTCCTACTCTGTCCCTCAGATTCCACTCTACACTTGACTGTAATCTTCCTTTTCCTGAGACAACACAGTGCTGCTTATCTGGCTGGCCTGCCTCTGTCTGCCACAGAGTCTACACACAGCATTCCAGAATGATCTTCCAGAGACTTAAACACAGCTCTTGCCCTTGCAGAAAATCACTCCCATGATTGTGGGATAAAAACCCTGAGTTCTCCCAAGGCCTCCATGCTTTAACTCTCTCTCTCCGACCTCTTTAGCCTGTCTGCACCTCCCCACCCTGCTTAGCCGTACCACTGTTAGAGTCTTCTATGGCAACTCCCAGGCTCTATGGTTTTATAAGACCAGGGTTTGTTTTATTAATAAAAAATGAGGTCCTCTGTTTTTTTTTTTTAATAGGATACCATCTATTATCACCATTTCATTTTTAAAAGGGGTTATTTCTTAGAATGCTAGAAAACAAGATGGTGGTCAGCTCAGTTGTTAACAATGAATTGACATTAGCTTTGGACAGACTGACCATACTGTTCTCATCTCCTCACTGACAAACAACACTTTACTGTGGGCCACAAGTCTCTGGATCCCTTTGACGGGAGCCACTGTAACCCTCAGGACCTTTATGTTTCCGTCACCCTCTACCTGAAGCTCTCTTTTTCACCCTTTGCCCCTTTCCCACTGGTTAACTGACCCCTACACTGCAGATCTTGGCTCAGCCGTTGCTTCCTCTGGAATGGAGGCCACTGCCCAGCGCTGCTCCTGTGGTTTTGTGGTCGTCTATGTCACACTAGACTGGAAGCTCCCTGAGGGCAGGATCATGTCCACTTTGTTTCCCAGTGTGTGCTCAGAGCCACACACATTCCCTAGAATCTGAACACTGTACAAGAACTAGACATAAATAATCAGTGACTTCATGGTGAAGCGATACATTTTAATTTCTGACTTGGATGTGTAAGCTTAGTAATGTAATTATTTAAATTGATTGTTCTTATATTTTAATAGTGTGTTTTTTCACATTTATTTTATCCTAAGAGTAAATATTCTCTTGGTAGTAATATCCCACTAGTTTGTAATTTTTCTGAATTGCATTTGCTTTCAGTTATCTTTGAAAGATAAATCACTCTGGAAAGAAGCCTGTATAATTAGTGTAGTGGTTTTAATGTATTGTATTTCCTTGAGTATTTTTAATATAAATTACACCATAATGTACTTACTTAGGACTGTGATGTTCCATGTACAAGATTTCATAATTCTTGTTTGCTTTCTTCCTTGTGCTTAAAATTTATTCCTTTTATAAATACTGCTTTAAATAAATGGAAAAAAGAACTGAAGTTTTAAGTCTGCTGTTTGATATTTCAGATATTAAATGTACTTGGGGTAAATAAGTGCAAGAACTACTTGGATATAAAGATACAAACTGGATGTACATGGTAAAGGCTTTTAAAGTTATTGCCTTGACTTGTTGAAAAGACAAAATTTATCTTAAGAATTAGAAATGACACTGTATCCAAAACTCATTACAATTTGGACCTTTCCAAGAGTGTTTTTGTTTTTTAGAGAGCTAGATGAAAAGAGGAGTGAATTCCTATCTGACTGGGACTGTTATATCCTCCTGTGTCACTTCATCTGAAAGAGGGCAACAGCTGCTCCCCACGGTCAGGCTAAGAAGCCAGGCATTCTACAGTGGTGCCAATGTCCCCACTGTGCACTGACAGGACACGGCATGGATGCCATCTCCCGGTGCCGCCAAGCTGCTCGTGGCTGTTTTAGTCACTGTAGCTCTTGTTTAGTGTCATTCAGAGAACCCGGGTTGGAAAGAGTGGAAATAATCTCTCAGTCAAGTGGGTGTTGGGTTACTTTTCCTATAGGCTGCAGTCAAATCTTACTTTCATCTCTGGTTAAACGTATTCAACAGTCACATTGAAACCTTTTTCTTCTTGAAGAATATGGTTTAGTCATTTTAACTTATTACGTATATCCAGGCAAAAGAAAGACAACACAGAAGATGTGTTTAAATTATTTAAATGTGCAACACACCCTTCAGTGCAGGCTTTTACAAAATCAATATCCGCATCAGACAGCATGAAACATACAAGAGAGTCATGAGACAGAGAAAATACTTAATCTTTTTAATAGTACCTTTTACTAAATATTCCTAAATTCGGGTTTTAAGTCCCTTTACTCTTGTGTAGGCACCTACCTTCCAAATCATAAATTATTTAGGATATATAAAAATGATATCTGCTTCAACTTATTCTTTAAAAAAATAACATTACACATGTATACACACATATATACACTACAGTATATGTGCATGATATATGAGCACTTAATGTCACACTTCTGTACCTATATATTCTAATATATCTTACTACTGCAATGCCATATTGTCTTAGTTAAGGTTTAATTGCTGTGATAAAACATCATAACCAATAGCAACTTCAGGAGGAAATGGTTTATTTTCTTAAAGCTTGTAGCCCATCATCCAGGGAAGTCAGGCAGGAACTGATGCAGAAGCCATAGAGGAGTGCTGTTTACTGGCTTGCTCTCCATGGATTGCTCAGCCTGCATTCTATGTCAACCAGGATCACCTACCCAAGGGTAGCACCACTCAAATTGATCTATAATCCAGAACAATCTATAATCAAGAAAATGACTGACAGACTTAACTATAGGCTAATCACATGGAGATAATTTCTAAATTGAGAGTTTCTCTTTCCCAGTGACTCTAATTTATGCCAGGTTTACAAAAACTAGCCAGTACATGTATATAATACAAGAACATGCACTTTGTATTAAACAGCCATTACCTTAAGTGGAATAAGCCAGGTACAGAAAGATAGAAATCACATGATCTCACTTATATGCAGACCCTGAAAAGGCAAAACAGAAGCAGAAAGCAGTAGTGACTAGAAATTGTTAGGTAAGGGAGGGCGTTGGGGAATATCTCAAATGATGTCAAATATCAGTTAGACACAAATAATTTTAAATGCTTATTATACAACATGGTGGATGTCATTAAAAGCAATGCAATGTATATCTGTGTGTGAATTACTTTTCTCCTTTCTATAATGGAATATTTGAAAGTCAGCAACTTACGGAGTGAAGACTTTATTTTGGCTCATTGTGATGGAAGAAGCATAGCCATAAGAGCATGAGGCTGTTTTCTCACATCTGGCTAAATGAAGACACACAGAATGTTGACGGTTGCTTGGTACTCATCTAGCTTTCTTTCGGTTCATTCACTGAGTCTAGATCCCTATCCCATGGGGTAGTACCACAGATTTTAGGGTGGGCCTTCCCTCCTACGTTAATCCTCTCTAGAAATGCCCTCACAGACGTTTCCAGAGGTGTGTCTTCTAACTGATTCTAAGTTCAGACAAAGTGACAATGAAGATTAGCCATCACAATGTAAAAACTACCAAAAGAGTTCTGCCAAGGTATGAGAAGAGCTGTCCTACCCGCACACTTACTCATCCTCCATGCAGTCATCCACTGCCATGCCTTCTCCACTATGATAGACTGTCCACATGACTGTCTTCTCCACTATGATGTCCCAGCCACATGACTGTCTTACAATATGTAGCAAGGTTAGATTCTCTACAAGAGCTCTTGGGTAGGCTGTGGTGTGCAAAGCTGTAGATATATACAGCCTAAGCTACTATTGAGTTCCTCGGATAGTGGAGATGAAGCAAGCTGCCACCATGCCTTCTCCACTTTGATGGGGTGTATCTCTTCAAATATGAGCCAAATGAACTCTGCATCCCTCAGATTTCTTCTTGTTTGGCATTTGGTCACACCGATTAGAAAAACAACCAATACAGAACATTGGTACCAGGGTAGTGGAATCATTGCTTTGCTAAAGCTGATGAGGTGGGTCATAGACTTTCTGAACTGGTTTGGAGGAGAAGTGAGTAAGTTTAGAACTACAGGCTAAACATGTCCAAGAATGCTCAAGAGTGCTGATCCCAATGACAGCTTGGAAGCTGGAATGCCAATAAAAAGACAGACAACACAAATTTGCTCATGAGCTTTCACAGGAAAATGAAGGACTACATCTGGACCTGGGATAGAGATCATTGATGGATTATGGCAAAGACCCTGACTGCGTTTCTGCCCCATATCTTAAAATGTTGAGTGAAGCTAAATTAAAAAGTAACGAAGTATTTTGGCAGAAGAAATCGTAAGACAGCATAATATCCAGGCTGTGTAGTTTGTAGCCCAATTATGGTGAACACAAAGATCAGAAATACAGAGAAAATGTGACATTTGACAAGGAAAGATATATGGACCTAAGTTAAGGACAGTGTAGCAGATGCAGTTGTTACAAATTTTAACCACTGTAGCTATAATCTAAGAGGCCCACATATATCTTGAGCTGGCACCAAACTTGATGTAGTGCTGTGTTTACAGGCATGCAAGATGCAAAACTGAGGGGCCCATATAAGCTTACTTCAAACTTCAGAAGCCCTTTGAGATGAGACAATATGTAGCAAGGTTAAATTCTCTACAAGAGCTCTTGGGTAGGCTGTGGTGTGCAAAGCTGTAGATATATACAGCCTAAGCTACTATTGAGTTCCTCGGATAGTGGAGATGCCATAAATTTGGATATCTGCTGAGGAAAGCTGAAAGTGCCACGTGGAGCTGGCCTGCAGGAGGCCGTGTAGGATGCAAACAAACTAGTTGTAGGGGAAGGACTGCCCAAGCCCATTAGTGCCCAGATGATACCACATGACCTGGACCAGGAGCTGCAATGCCTGGTACTTGCCTTGCTGGGTTACTGTCTTCCTTTGGTGTGATCTTTTCTTGTTATGTCTCTTTCCTCCCATTTGGAATGAGAATGTTTACTCTGTGCCATTATTTGATGGATGTATGTGACATGTTTTGTGATTTTTTTTTTAACATGGGTTCATAGTTAAGAAATCACCTTGAGTCTTAGAAGAGGCCTTGGACTTTCAAACTATATCAGAACTATAAGACTAAATTGGATTAAATACGTTTTTGTATGATGAGATGGCCATAGTCAATAAGGGGCAGGGATGGAATACTATGATTTGAATTTAAGATGTACCTCACAGACTCATGTCCACGAACACTTGTATATTTGAAGACACATTTGAACAGCTGGTGCTGCTCTTTTGAAGGTGATAGAACTTTTGGGAGGTGAGGCTGAGCTGGAGGAAATATGGGAGAATCTTGAGACTTTATAACCAGGTCAATTTTCCTAACCTGTGTCTTTTTCCTAGCTGCTGACCCAATGTAATGCTGCCAGCCATCAAACCTCCCCCAACATGGTGGACTACACTCCCTCAAACCATAAACCAGAACTAATCCCCGTCCTCCAATCTTTCCCCAAAAAGAGAAAGAAAAGAGTAGTTTAGATTTTAGGTATTCTCACCATGAAAAAGAAATCAGTATGTGAGAAAATACATATGTCAATTGCCTCAATTTAGCCATTCTATAATATATACACATTTAAAAACAGCATGTTCTGTATCACATATATGTATATATTTTTGTCAACTAACAAACATTTAAAAAATATGGACTGCTTTAGCACTCTTAGATGAAGCATGCAAATGTATCTGATCATTAAGACAGAGAGTGATCCAGATTGAATCATGCTTTACATATTATTAGCTACTTGATTTTGAACAAGATATAAGCATATCAATCATTATGCATACATAAAATAAATGCATAAGAAACCTGATTTCTGTTGTTATTATTGTGGCCACATCGTGAGATTCCAGAACAAGACCACCACAGAGCTGATATCCGATGCAAAACACACAGGGGTTTATTGATAACAAGCAAGCCCAGGCTTCGTCCATGTCCAACACACTGGCTAGCTAGCCAGGTGAAGGAGGACGGCCCTGAGCTCTCAGGGTGAGGGGTTTTTAAAGGGAAAAACCGCAAACAGGGTGGTACAAGCCTTGGTGTCATATGGTTGGGTGAGGGTGTGCAACCTTTGAATTTACTAGTTGGGGGTTACAGTTATCATTTGGGGGCAGGCCTGCACAAGGCTTTGTCCTTGTGCTGCCATGAGGGCTGGCTGTCCTTGTACATACTGACTGTGGGGGCTGACTCAGTGACCCAGGCTCTGTCCTTGAGCTGCCATGGAGGCTGGCTGACCTTGCACATTCACATTGACCCATGCACGTAGCTCTAAGTTGGTGAGGGGTCCCAGACAGTAAACAACTGGCTGAACCTTGAGCAGTCAGAGTATATACAGAAAAGGAGCTACTGCAAGGATTATGTCATAGCCCTCCCAGAAACTGCTTGCTCAAGTCTCAGGAAACTGAAATTGAGGCCTGATCTCTGAGAAAAG